GCTATGGTACACAGTACACTGCACTCACGCGAGGGCGCCAAAGGTGCCTGCGAAGACCTCCAGATTGGGTCGCCTCGTGGCCAGCACTGCCTGATGGGGAAAGCAATGGGGCGAAATGGAGAGTTGGAAGCGCACATGCTTGCGAGTTCATTTAGTTTGCCCATCCTGTTGGTGAAGCGAGGTCTCGAAATGGTGGTTATTCGTACGGGCGGTTGACAGACTAGTTGAGAGCCGGGCTGAAACTCTAGTCGCCATCTTACCGCGATGAAGAACGTCTTGTCGCCGATTTCAGAGAAGAGGACCAGGAGGAAGGCCTGATAACACCATGACGGACAGGGTAACCCAGACGGACAGAACCTCCAGAACAATTAGAAAGACGGCCCGCAAATGGAGGCAGAATGAGTGGAAGAAGCCATCAGAAACAAAATGCGAAAGGAATTGTACACATCCATTTTTTTTCTCCCTCTCTTGTTACTCCATCAGAAAACTGTTCATGAATTGTATTGAAATCTGGCTGCACTTACCGAAGCAAATCCAGCCTGGAAGTCAGCGAGATCCAAAATGCCGCTGACGCCAGCTGGCACCGCAGCGGAAGCGGCGATGACGTCAGCTGTCGCTGCTGCTGCAGCCGTTTCTGGCGCGGCAAGGCCTAGCAAGGAGAGAGACAATGCACCTACTGCTGCTGCAAGGGAGGCAGACGCGACCAGGGAAGGCGACTGAGCTGAAGTTGATGGGAAAAGACGAGATGGAAGTGACGGCCATTGGAGGAATCTCTGCTGGAAACGGCTTCTAATTGATGGTGCTGGTTTCGCTTGCTCACTCAGCCGAACATCTTCAATGGACGAGCCATATTCTGTTCTCCCTCCGTTTATTCGGCAGAAGCTTTGCACGGTAACACTTCTGCTTCGTGAATAAGGTCCGCCAGAGGGTATAATCGTCTGGGCTCGTGCAATGCTGCTTTCCAAAGACTTGAAGGAGCAACACGGCTTTTGTTGGAGGTTGCCAGCTGGCGCTCTGGCATTGGAGGTTGAGCACGCAGACACTGAGCAACGAGAGATTGTGCTTAGAGATTTCACTGGCAGCAGGGTCGAGCCACTGACAGCAGCTAACGTGGCCATTGGGAAAATATGAGCTTTCGAATCAACGCGCGAAAGAAAGCGAGACGGCCTGATCTCGCAACTGGCCTACAACGTGGTCTCTTCACCCGCGCTTACGGCTCAATATTGAAGTATAACGAGCCTAGAAGGAAACACACGTCCACTCTCCTGTGGTGCACACGTTTTGCTCGGCTCGTGGAGCAAAACAGTCCCAACCGTGAAAGAGTGTCAAGAAGGTGGCAGTGGTCGGAAAGGTATGCTCCTCCAACCAAAGGCGAAGGGAGGAGATTCAAGCTGAAAGAGGAAGAGCGAATCGAGGATTCTCGTATTCATGTGCTCTTTCTCATTCCTGTGACCTGCGTTGTTGTCAGTTCCGTAGTCTGGTTCAATTCAGGTCAGGAAGGACTTCAAATCGGAGAACAGGATGACAGGCATGACGTGTCAACGGGTGACTCATGCTCGCATCGATGGCTCCTGATGTCCTGGCCTGTGGGAAAAGTTCAAGGTCAGCGAATCGGACGGCTGTGTTGGCGATGGGACGATTGGTGCTCGGGGAAGTTGACCAATTGTGGACCTTGGTTGGGCGCTGGTTGGATGGTGGTCCCAATCTGCTTGTGCTTTTCCTCCTGCAGGAATCTTCGTTTGAAGTTGGTCATGCGACAGCGAGACGTTCGTCGTAACCAACCGTGATAGGTCACGTTGGGCCTGGTTACGTACCATGTTCTTTTCGCACAATCAAGATACAACACAAGAAGCTCCGTTAGAACGTGGATCCAGTGAGAAAAGGTATTTCCATTCGAGGGAATACGTGGTAATCAGTGAGCCAGCTTTAGGAATGTTGCTCGAACAGCACGTGTGACAGGAATCGCAATCCGAGAGCACTAGAATTGTTCTTTTCCTCAGCTGGCTTCTCTCACTTCATGGTGGCAGGATTAAGTTTCATCATGGACACTGAACCCTGTTATGATAGGAGTTACTTGCGAGGAGTTGCCTAGCATTGTCGTCAGCCTTCTGGTAGCTCGCCGCGCTGCCTGTCATTTCGTTTCGTGCAATTTACGGTAGTCGGGTGCGCAAGCGACTTTCTTGACCATGAGTACCCCGATGTAATATCTGAACGGTGGACAAATAACGCCGGAATTTCTTGATTTTCAAGTAAACACCCCAGGAGGAATAATGACCCTATTTAATCTCTGCGCTATGAATCGAAGATATCTATCCCTTCCCCCAATGTCACCACCAATCACCTGGCCGGGAGTGCCAACATGCAAGGACCTACCAGAATTCACAGTCACCGTATTGCTTCCCGGTTGTGGCGGGAGAAAAAACATGTAAAGCCCAAGAACCGTACGGAACGAGCGGAGCCTAGAATTTCTAGTTGGCTCGCTGAAAAAGGCAAACGTCCACTTCTCCAGAAGCATGTGGAACTGGATCAGCTTCACTAGCTTCGCGCCCGTTAGTTGGCTGCGGATGTTAGTCGGGAGAGCATTGAACGCGGCGTCTGGAGGTAACAGGAAGGTGATAGGCTGTCGGTCCGCATACCTTGCAATCATCGGGTCAAGTCCTGAAGAAGTACGAATCACGAACGCCAGCATAAGCAAGGTGATGCAATCAGGTTTCAGCCAAACTACTTGATGATGCACACATGATGATGCGGGGCGAAGCTAGCAGTGACTCATTTGAATCTTGTTTACCTGTTCGTTTGAAGTGGATCATAAAGATCGTAAACTTCCTAGCACCCAGAATGACTTGGGAAATGCCATTCAGCGCTCTCCTTCCTGGACCCAAGGCCGGTTTGGGAGCTGGTTTGCCACCTTCGCCTCGTTGAGTGCAATTTAGAAGCATGAGGAGGACAATTATCCATCGTTTGGCGATGCAGCGGGGAAAGAATGGCCTTAGCAAGGTTGGAATTATTCCACTCATGCTGTTCAGAGTTCCACGGTGTTACTATGGCCCTTCAGCTATCTATTACTAGTATTTCTGGTGCAGCGTGCCTGGCACTACTTGTTAGCAAGACCTGTGCGGTTCAAGAAACGACGACGCTAGTATGTACTACATGCACACTCGGAGCTCTAGTTCCCTAACTCAAAGCTGTAAAACGTTTTTCATCAAAAGCCTTAAGTATGCGGAGCTCCGTGGTTGTGGATAGAGAAGAGAGCCCCGTACTGCCAGTAGAAGTGTAACGGCCTCCCCTTTCAACCGCCCACGTTCAGGACGCCCCAGCATACTACCTCCCTTTCCCCTGCTGGTCAGCCCGAGTTTCAATCACAAACAGCGACCCTTCGCACCTCCATTGTGCAGTGCGGGAACAGCACCGCCTCCGTCATCCTTTAGTGCCGCTGATACACATCCAATCCTTCCAACTCGGGAACCCCAGGACAGGCACATAATATGTTTTCATGCTACCGACTGCGTGCCCAGTCGCACATCCCATGGTTGGCGGAAGCTGTGGCGAAGTGGGTGGACAACTCTAACGGCGAAAAGAGAATGCGTTTCTTGCCTCACCGATGTAGCAGCAATGATAAGAATAGTACAGTACGTCATACCACATGCCGCCTGCGTCGCTATGGCAATAGTTACGACTACAGCAGTTGACTCGACTGTCTGCAAAAGTTCACCGCAAGGCAAGTTGCGAGAACTGTAGCTCAGGCGGCTTCAGTCCAGCGCATCAGGCTTGCTTTGCACAGTACGCACTGTCTCCTAATTCTTCATCAAATCGAATCCCTGCGTCGAGATTTTGGCGCGCGGCTGGAAGTTGCAGTAACTCCCAAGCCGCGGGGCGTCCCTATGGCTACAAAGTGATGGGAACTGGCTCCTATGTTGTGGTGGTGGTGGTGGCGGTAAGATGAATGGAAAGAACCTCTGGTAAAACCGCCTCGGAAGAAAATAACGACCTGCTTCTGCGACTTTTGTGCACGATACAGTACGTAGCCAGTTTTGACCCAACAGAAAGTGATAGGAGGGAGGCGGCTATTGATGGATAGGATGGAAGAGGACCAACATTCTTTTACAGTAGCGATTACTGTATGAGGATCGTACAATCTGGAGTGATTGTATAGGCATTTGAGTGATACGTTAGCGCGTACACAATCAACAAGTTACCGATCACGACAGAATACCGCCACGTGGATAAAGTGCGTGGCTCTCGATGGCACAAATAAGAAGCGGGAGATGATGCGATTGGTGGAGTTGGAGTTGGCAGAACAGATACTTGAATCCGCAATGCTCCACACCACAATAGATTCCTGGCTCCTATTCCTAGTCTTTCAGTAAACTTAGTAGCCTGCCATAGTACCGCCATTGCCTCTTGGAAACTTAGTAGCTCCTGTGCTCTGACAAGTTCTAGTGTCCAGTCTTTGGCGTGAGTCGCAGCGGTGTTCCGATAAATAGCACCAGTGATTAAAAGCAAGTCGAGCTGGCTGTACTTGGCAAATAGAAATGTTGGCTGTGTTGAATGCGTGAATGGCGACGACTTTCTGGATGCGAATCTGTGGAATCGGGCACTTGATTGGTGGCGCCTAAGTCGGCTGATTGTCCGCAGTCGAGCCTAGTGGATTGGTCGCATTCCATCCCCTATATAGTGCTGACTCCGCGATGGCGATTGTCACAGCATTCTCCCATCATACTGTGAAACCGAGAACTACATCCTCGCTACAATCCTCCTCTGTTCTCGCTAATTCCTCCTCGGGTCCAGCATTCCTCCCTTCACGCTTCAAGTCTTTTTTAACTCCTTCAAGACCAGGAGTTCGTACTAATAAAAATGATCCACTACGATTTCAAGAAGGTAGAGGATCAACAGGATCGCGCCGCGTGAGTGCTCGAGCCAATCGAGGGGGTTCGAAAGGAAACCCGGAGGACGATGAAACTGAAGGAAGCTTCTGGGAAGGCGAGGAGGGTCAACAGAAAATGGACGAAATCGAGGAACTTAAAGCCATCCTTAGAGAGCGCAAGGCACTGGAAAAAGAGCTAGACGAGGCCGAAGAGGAAGCACGACGAGCCGCAGCCGCTGCTGCTGCTGCAGGAGGAGGGGGAGAAGCGGGCGGTGCGGGAGGATCGGCGGAGATTGGGGAAGACGGGTTGACCGCGGAGCAGCGCGCGGAGCGGAAGGCGGAGAAGCTGCGGGAGCTGCTGGCGAAGCGGGCGCAGGAGCAGGCGGAGAAGCGGCGCGAGGCGGCGGAGCTGTTCGCGTTCGGGCAGCAGGCGTACGGGCGCGGAGTGTACGACAAGAGCGTCGCGATCCTCGAGCAGGCTCTGGGGAACGTGGAGTTCACGTCGAAACTAGCCGGAGAGGTCCGTTGAGCTCTTAATTTAGTGCACTTTGCCTTGAGCGGACATTCCCTTGACACATCTCACAACTGCACAAAAGCGTAGCGAGCAGGCGCTGGGGGACGTGGAGTTCACGTCGAAATCTTGCTGGCAAGGTAGATTCTGAGCAAAGGGAGCACCTGATTCGACCTTCCCCAGCCCTGGTTCGATCTGGCCAGGTTCAACTTTTCCAGGCTTGATCAGACACGAGCGTGGCGATCCTCGAGCAGGCTCCAAGGAGCGTGGCGTCCACGTTGAAGCTCGCTGGCGAGGTCACTTGAGTGGAGCTTCTGCTTCCGTTTGGCTCAGGGATTGCCTCTAGACTAGAGCACATTGCCTTCTGAGGCATCACACCACGAAGCACAACCATCCGCAACCCTTCCCTTCTCAGTCACCCTTACCCCATGCAGATTCAACTCTGGCTCGTGATGGCGTATGATGCCAATGGGCAGCACCCAGAGCGTCTTGCGCTCTATCGCAAGCTGGAAAGCAAGCACTCCATGCAAGCACTCCATGCAAGCACTCCATGCAACCACTCCATGCAAGCACTCCATGCAAGCCCTCCCCCGTCCCCTTGACCCCGTCCCACCTCCCTCCCATGCAGATCCAGCTGTGGCTGGCAATGGCCTACGACGCTAATGGCCAGCGTCCCGAATGTCTTGCGCTGCATCGCAAGCTGGAGAGCAACCACCCCATGCCCGCCTCCTTCTCCCCCGCTCCGCCCTGCTCCCCTTATCCAGATCCAGCTGTGGCTGGCAATGGCCTATGACGCCAACGGGCAGCGCCCTGAATGTCTAGATCTGTACCGCAAATTGGAGAGCAACCACCCCATGCCCGCCATCCCCCGCCCCCCTGCCCCGTCCCCCCTTCCCAAATGCAGATCCAACTCTGGCTGGCCATGGCATATGATGCCAACGGGCAGCGCCCTGAATGTCTAGCTTTGTACCGCAAGCTGGAGAGCAACCACCCCATGCCCGCCATTCGCAACCAGGCCGCTAACATGCGGTATATCGCGGAGGCGCCCAAGCTCAAGCTGTCCCCCGATGAGATCCTCAAAGTGCCCATTCTAGACAAGGATAACAACAGGTGGGTAGAGGGCGGCAAGAGGAATCGTGGGGTGGGTGGGTGGAGGGTGAGCAGGCTGCTAGCAGGCTGCAGGCATGCGGTGCGTTGCAGAGGCGCCCAAGCTGAAGCTGTCACCTGATGAGATTCTCAAAGTGCCGATTCTTGATAAGGACAACAACAGGTGAGGCAGGGAGGAATAAGCAGACAGGGGGATGGGAGGACCTGCGGGAGAAGTGGGGGTTGAGTAGGTTGCCAGAAGGCTGCTAACATGCGGTGCATTGCAGAGGCGCCGAAGCTGAAGCTGTCACCTGATGTGATCCTGAAAGTGCCGATTCTTGACAAGGACAACAACAGGTGAGGCAGAGAGGAGTAACCAGGCTGAGGAAGTGAGGAAGCAGGGGCGGAGTGGGGGTTGAATGAGGGAGTGAGAAAGAGTGGATGGGGGTTGAACTTGCAGTAAGCAGGGTGCTGACATGCGGTACATCTCAGAGGCGCCCAAGCTGAAGCTGTCTCCCGATGAGATCCTCAAAGCATCCATTCTTGGGTTGAGTGAGAGTGGGAGGACGGGAGGAAGAGCATGCAGTGTGAGTAGGGTGAGTGGGCAGCAAGAAAGCGGCAGATGTGCAATGCATCGCAGAGGCGCCCATGCTGAAGCTGTGTACCGATGAGATCTTCAAAGTGCTGTGGAGGATCTACACGGACTACCTTATGTTGTTCAAATCCACTGCACTTATCACCATCTATCACCATCTATCACCATCCACCCACATTTCTCCTTTTACAAGTGCCACTCCAGTCCAGCACCTCATCACATTTTCCCCTGCTTTCCTCTTATCTCTCTATGTCCTCCCCCCCCCTCCCCCCCCTTCTCCTTCCCCCTCGTCCACCCACCCCCCTCTTATCTCCCCAGCTCTGGGCGCACTTGGAGTCAGATGGTGACTGAGAGACGGCCCAAGCGCATCAAGAAACTCAAAAACTCGGGGTCGAGGGACTATATGGATGACCTTATGTCCTTTAAGCCTCCCAGGTGGGAAAAGAGCCCTTATTTCTGGGTGGCATTTTCAGTTTGGCTTACCATGGTGGGTGTTGCCCTGATGTTCCAAGACTGAGGCTTATGGCGAGGCAGCGTTATTTTGAATTTTCGGTCAAGATCGTATTGATAGATGTCCGCAGCCATGTCGCTTGGTCTTTTGGCAGGTAAAGAAAATAAAATTGATGTTATTAAGTTTCCGAGCCAAGGTTAGGAAGTAGTGCTCCAATACTCCGTAGCTTGTGGGAACTCGTTTTATTGTGCACATTGCACTAGTGTTGCAACGCATTGGCAAATATATTACAAAATTGTCCGTATTTATTAAATGGATCCATGGTTACTCTAAACTGTTGCTTTCCTATTAGCCGACTTGCTGGAAAGGACTGGCGTGCATGAAGGAAGAGATAATGTAATGTCAAAGATGCCGTAGTTTGAACTCCACGAACACGACTATAAAGTGTAATTGCCCAGTCGTTCTCGCTATGCATTTATCGAGGGTGCTTCATGTTGCGTAGACTGAAGACATTCCGAATCCCAGGGTGATCAGGATTCAGATACTCGCTTTCCAGGAGATCGCGTTAGGAATCAAGTAATCGCGAGCCTCGTATTCTGGTTTCGCTTTTTGTTGTCGAAGCGTTTCATCCATTTCAGAATACTGGTTTGAATGGATGAGATATCTTGCTCCGCTCAGTTACGTTCAGATGACGCAACAGATTCGCCGGGGCTGAATCAGCAATCAGAGCTGGTTCGGCAGCAGCTTCGGTGCCAAGGCTTGGAGCCGTTTCGCGTAGGGCGAGTGTCCTCGGTATACGTGGTCCCGGAGTACCTTACAAAGCAGGAAGAGCAACTGCTGATGTCACAGGTGAGCAGATTCACGGTTGCAAATTTACGTTTGCTGCCTTTCCCTTCGTGTTTACCCGCTGACTCCTGTTTCTGGCGTGCGTCCATGTCATCCTGGCCATCAGGTTGCGTCAGCACCAGTCACGAAGTGGAAGAACGTGACTGGCAGAAGATTGCAGAACTGGGGTGAGCGGCAAGGGAGTCACTCTGCCACTCTGCCGCAGACAATCTGCTGCAGATTGTTGAATTTCTGATTCCTTAGTCTTTTAAGGTATACCTGTTGTCCATTCTCTCTCTCCCTGCCTCCTTTCTTCGTAGTGCAGGCGGCGTGGTGCATGATAAGGGGCTCATAGCTCAACCGTGTGAGTGCGTGTGACTGTGACTGGGTGGTTGCGATAATAGCTGGATGGGTGTGATTTTAAATGGGTGGGAGTGTGAGTATGACTGTGTGATGTGAAGCAACCTCTTCATCATTCCCAGTCTTCATCTCTCCAAGTCCATCAGTCTTTGTTCCCTTTCATCGCCTTCCCAATTTTCCTCGAATTGTTGTGACCGTGGCCGTGGCATGGTGCCTTCTAAACCCCTTTGGATCTTCATATATTTTCTTCCTTTGCCTTCGAATTCACATTTTTCTTCCTTTGCCTTCCAGTTCACATTTTCCATCCCATTGCACAACCTGAAACTGTTGCATGCTCTTCTGATGTCTTGTCTAGTCAGTGCCACAATGGCTACAGAGCTTTACATCTCGCCTCTTTTTGAGTTGACTCACAAACCTTTCATCCCTGCGTGCCCTCCCATCCTGTCTTGTCTAATCAGTGCCACAATGGCTACAGAGCTTCACGTCTCCCTCCCATTCCTGTCTTGTCTAATCAGTGCCACAATGGCTACAGAGCTTCACGTCTCGGCTCTCAGCTGACCTCAGCAGCGTCTTCCCCTCCCCCATCAACCACGTGCTCGTGAACGAGTACCATGAGGGACAAGGCATCATGGTGAGTGGATTGGAGCAATGAGCAGCAAGCAACTAGCGTGAGCACTGAACAATGAGCAACCAGCATGGCTGCAGCACTTCTCATCTCGCCTCTCAGCTGACCTCAGTAGAGTTCTCCCCTCCCTCATATACCACGAGCTCGTGAATGAGTACCAGGAAGGACAGGGCATCATGGTGAGTGGATTGCTAGTGGGGTGAGTGGAGTAACAATGTGAGTATCCGTTCGTCTTCTCCTCCCTCATCAAGTACGTGCTTGTGAATGAGTGCCAGTAGGGGCAGGGCATTATGGTGAGTGGATTGGAGCAATGAGCAGTTAACTCCGAGCACTGAACACTGAATGCTGGGCAATGAGCAACCAGCATGGCTGCAGCACTTCTCATCTCACCTCTCAGCTGACCTCAGCAGCGTCTCCCCCTCCCCCATCAACCACGTGCTCGTGATTGAGTATCATGAAGAGCAGGGCATCTTGGTGAGTGGAGTGCCAGGGGTGGGCACAAAAGGTGTGCTGCAGAAGTAGCTGCTCCCCCCTCCCCCATCTACCACGAGCTCGCGAATGAGTATCATGAAGGGCAGGGCATTACGGTGAGTGGAGAGACAAGAGTACCGTGTCACTTCCTCCCTCAATATTACACCAGCAAGGTGTCCCACCTAGTTGTTTGAATATGTGTGGAAGCACCGATTGTCAACACCTAGTCGTCCCACCTTCCTTTCCCTGTTCTCGCGCTCTTTCTCCCGTCCCGCAGCCACACCAGGACGGCCCGGCCTACTTCCCCTGCGTGGCCATACTCTCTCTCGGCCTGCCTGGAACCATGGCGTTCTCTCCGCACCAGAGGCTGCTGGAAGGCAACAGGGAGGGCAGCAGAGAGAGCAGCGAGGGTGCTTGTGATGGGGCTTTGGCTTTGCTGGAGGAAAGGGGAGAGGAGAGGGAGGGTGGAGCTGAAAGGGCGGAAGTTGGGAAGGATGGAATGGGACAAGCAGAGGCAGGCGAGCGGGGATTGTCAGGCGATGCAGTGGTGATGATGCAGGAGAGTGTGGCTTTGCCTCCTCGAAGCCTGCTGGTGTTTAAGGATCAAGCATACACAGGTGAGCTGGTTTGGTGCGGAGATAGTGTGTGGTTTTACCTTCCGGGGCAACTCGAGAGGGGAGTGGAGTGGTGATGAGGGAGAGTGTGGCTTTGCCTCCTCGAAGCTTGCTCGTGTTCAAGATTCAAGCGTACACAAGTGACCATGTTTGGGGAGATGGAGGCGAGCGGGGTCCATATGGGATGCCGTTGTGGGAGCTATTTCTAACGTGCAGGTAGTTGTGCGAGTTAGGCCGTTGAAGAAGCGGAAAAACGGCATTGGCAACCATAAGTGTATCGCAGTTGATCTCAGCTCGTAGGCGCTTCATATTTTAACAAAGCCTGTTTGAAAGTCTTTCTTCTTTGACTATATCGCCGACAAAGACACACGGCAGGTGAAGAAGAAATATATCTCACCTGCCGCGCGGGAAAGGGTTAAAGTGCACGTAAAAAAAAGATTGTAAATTAGTCCTAAATTTGGAATTTGTAACACCCCTCCGTTTCTTCTCTGCGATTTGCACTGGCAGATTACCTTCATTCGGCTTCTACCTGTGCGTCAAGCGAAGCTGTTTCATATGAATTTCCTTCATCAGGCAATCCTGTCCGCATATCTTTGACATGTAGATTCGTTCCTCGTACCATGAAAGCCGTCTTCAATATGAGGTGAATTCAGAATCACCTGTCAGAAATGTATAGATTCAACCAGTCATTATACTTTGAATTGGCTAAATGAGAGTTCAGCTTAGTAAGCTTACTCGACTACAAACGGGGCAACTGGAAACGGAGATTCCCAAATCTGCCCCACCGATGAATTGCCTGTCCCTCCCTCCCTGCACACTCCATCAATCCATCCTTTCGGCATTCTCAAAATTTCCAGTGATCGGCATTCCCAGAGCAGAGCTGCGTCTGGCTTCCTAGCTTTCATTGGTTGAGCATCTCCGCTGCGCGAAGCCCAGCACGGACTGGCCACAATCTTCCTCTCAATGGCCTCTCTTCGCGTTCCTTCCGCCGCTCTCCTCCCGTCTCCGCCACTCCCCTGCGACCCTCGTGTCATACTTCCGCGCTCTGTCCCCACTCCGCGCCTCGCCTTCCGCGTTGTTCCCGCTTTTCGACCATCCATCACCGCCTCTAGTAGCCATTCTTTCAGCGAGCAAACTCCTTCCACCGCAACTCCCGCTAGCTTTGATCCCTCTCGGGCCGTCATTGAGACTGCGACTGTCACAACTCGACGCGCAGCTTTAATCGGGCTGTCAGCGGTGATCGCGGCGCAATGCGCGGGCGAAAGCAGCACCAGGGGGGGACGGGAAACAGCGGGGTCTCTCTGTCGAGCAAGTGAAGGTGTGACTGAAACGCGTATGATTAATCGAGTGAACGAGGTGTATAATCAACAGAGTTGTCAACAGTGCTCCTCTCTCAGTGAAACATCACTCTCAGCATGAAGTTACGCCTATTATTGATCGCTTTGAATGACACGATACTGATGGCAGGATATCATCGCACGTGACATTAGCGAGGGCCAGTACTTCGTTACAGGGGACCTCACAGCCTCTATTTATCGCGATGACTGCAGGTGAGCTGTACTAATTTCTCAGAACTGACGGAATGATTAGTGAGGAAAATCAAGGTAGAATGACCAACGAGGAAAATCATGTGACTGAAACGAATTCGCATTGTGACAGCCTGACAGCACAATGCAAAGCTGAATGATGCCGATTGGATGAACACGATCATCAATGCCCTATTTTATTGTCTTCGCCTGTTTATTGTCTCGATTTCGTTTCAGTGTGCTATAACGGATGAAATGCTCTGCTTTTAATAAATTCACCACTTCAGCGTGTGAAACCTTATCAAAGTTTAGTGCCTCTACCTCATAAACCGTGCACATCACGCATATTGCTTCTTGTGCACACCCATGAAGATCCAATCTGTACTCCATACAAGCATCCCCGTTCCAGGTTCAAGGATCCAACCAATGACACGTCTGGTCTGGCGCGCTACCTGGCTGCTGTGAGCATTCTCTTCGACCCGGCATTCTCCAAGCAGGAACTGCTTTCCATTGCTGTCACCTCCGACAAATCAGTCACTGCCACGTGGCGGCTTGGCGGGTAAGCTGGGCAAATGCGCACTAGCTCATGCCATTTCTGTCCGTTGCTGCTATTTCTCTGACATTCTAGATGGAAAGACACCGCTTCTCTTTTGCCCCTCTTTTCCATCCCTTTTCCACCCCTCGCGTCCATTGATGTCCTTTTCACCACCCCTACCCCTCAATATCCTGCACCCCACCCTTTGCTGGTGTCTCACCTTCATTCTGCTGCTTCTCCTTGAATCCCACGAATCCCTCCAGGTACCTCAAGTTCCCCTGGCAGCCCAGAGTCGAACCATTCACGGGTACAATTATCCATGATCACCTCTCATTACGGACTCTGATTCACATTTTTTTTCCCTTTAGTCTTTTGTTAAATAATTTTTAAATAGTTTGCAATCATCGTGTGCTTATGTATTTTGTTCCAGCCTAATTCCTTTCACGCTGTGAATACGCAGGTTCCACTGTGTACGAGCTGGACGGCGACAACCTAGTGGTGGTGCATAATGAGTCGTGGAGCATATCGCCCATCACTGCACTCGTCGAAACCTTCACGCCTAATTTTGGCCCCAAACAACTACAGTAACTCCAGATTTTTTAGTATATCCGAACCTGTCTTGTGGCTCCTGATAAGATCTTGTAAGAGGTAGTGAAAATCAGTCATTCTGAAACAGATCAAACGTACGTAGGATTCTAACTTCATCTGTAGTGTACTTAGAAAGAAATTGATTAATAGCGAGTATCAGGATTCAGGAGGACCGCTCCCGCCTCCCCCTCCACCATCCAATGCCAGCATTTGGGACTGGTCCCACCCGAGCAACCAACCAGCCAAGTCATTAGAGAGCTATTATCAATCAAACCCAACTCAACCGTTAATAACCGCTTTTCTCAAAGAATTATTTATACCCAACCGCATAGAAGTGAGGGTCGCTATGTCAGGCTAACCATAACCAACCTGCATCACCCAAAAGCTCCCTCGAGACTCTAGAGGAGGTATTTTCGGGATTGCCGAGCGGAATAGAGCCGAGGCGAGCAAATCAGGCAGGGTCAGCTCACGAGCCGATTGAGTGATTTGATTGCCTGCTGCGTACGCTGTAGTAGATGCGCTGAGCAGCAGATGCGATTACTAGCCGCACGTGCAGCACCGTCAGGCTCGCAGCTCCGATCCACCGACTAGGAAGGTAGCGCGTGCAGTGGGTTGTGCTCACCAGCCGCGCGTGGATTGCGCGTGTCTAGCTGTATTCGAAACGGAAGCGAAGCCGAGTCGTTTCGCACTGGGTGTGAGAGAGAACGGATGTTGCGTGCGGGGACGTTTAGGCGGTGTTTGTGCAGCTTACCCTGTACAATCAGCAGCAGCTACAGGAGCTTAGAGCTGTGCTGGTGATTAAAGCCGTCGCGCTTGAAAGAATTGCGTCCCTCGTTATAGACACAATAGCCGACTCTTGTTAGCACTCTCTCCGTCTCTGCCGCTCCAACTCTGAATTTTAAAGAAATTAACCGCTGTTTCGAAAGGCACAATCTTATAACTTGTACCGGGACAGCAATGTCGAAGCAGCCGACTGCAGCGCTGCCGCCGTACCCTGATAGGTTTTACATCGCGGCTCGGTACGCGGCGATCCCGGGGACGGTGGACATTCCCGAGGGCGCGGGGAACTCCACTCAGTACTCCGACCTCACATGCCTCGCGCTCTACTCGCTCTACCAGCAGGTGAGTACCAGAAGGTGCGGTGCGGTTGTGTGGTGTGTGGCAGTGCAGCACGGGCCTGCATGTGAGGGCAGCGGCAGTATTCCGACCTCACGTGCCTCGCGCTCTACTCGCTCTACAAGCAGGTGCGTTGCTTGATGTGCGTGGCGTGTTGTGTGGTGCGTGGAGCGTGCTGAGTGAGTGTTGTGTGGTGCGTGCTGAGTGAGTGTTGTGTGGTTCATCATGGTATGTGGTGCGTGCGTGGGGTGATACTTGGTACTTCATGTTCATCAATCAACTCTTCATGTTGTGTGAATACCATCATCAATCATGTTCACACGATGATGCACGACGCACCATCAGTTTACTTTGGCCAACTGTGCGCCTCTTGCCCGTCTCCCCCTCGGCTGCTTGCGGGACATGGTCCGTGCAATATGAAAATGCCAGGCCTCCCTTACTAACATGTTACTTTCCCTTTCGCCCTGCCCTGCCTTTCATTTTGTTCTGCAGGCGGTACACGGGCCATGCAACAAGCCCAAGCCATGGGCATGGAACATCGTGGAGCTCGCCAAATGGCAAAGGTGGGTGGGTGGGTGCATGGGTGGGTGTGGGTGGATTAGTCAGATCAAAGGGCAAAGTTGGGGGGTATCGATAGACGTGAGCCATGCAACAAGCCTAAGCCGTGGGCGTGGAACATAGTGGAGCTCGCCAAATGGCAGAGGTGGGTCTCCTCCCGAACCCATACCGGAGTAAGCAGATCGGCTCAAAGGGCACGGTCAGTGATTAGAGATAGAGGTGGGCCGTGCAGGAAGCTTAGGGCCCAAGCCATGGGCATGGAACATAGTCGAGGCCGCCAAATGGCAGAGGTGGGTGTGATTATGATAACTCCCTCCCCCCTCTCCTCCCCCCCCGCGGGCATGGAACTTAGTTGAGTCGAGGTCGCCAAATGGCAGAGGTGGGCGTGATTATGGTGAATCCCTCCCCCTTCCCCCCTTTCCCCCCCCCCCCCCCCCCCCCCCCCACCTCCCCCTGCGGGCCGAGTGGTTTTTCTCTTCGCTTACTCCCTTGTTCCGCCTTGTCCTTCCACTGTTGCTCTTCCGTCCTGCCTTGAACTTATACCACGTCCTCATTCACTTCCCCCTTGGACGGAGCTCTTGCCTTGCGCCAAAATCAAAGAAATCAAAGAGGCGCCTCAGAATGGCCCGTATGTTTTCCAGTGCTCCTCTCCCCTGCAGTTGGTCGGAGCTGGGGAAAATGGGGCTGGTAAAGATGATTTTTGAATCGACAGAATCATGTTCCCCATTGCCCCCTCTCTCTCGCCCTCCCCCCC